AAGATAAGCCTATATATAAGTCTAGAAACCTATTTAGACCTAAAGGTACTCATAGTACTAAGTATAAGTATATAATATCTATATCTAATAAAGCTAATCCTACTAATAAGCCTACTAATTATAAGACTACTATATTCTACTATATACTAGCTATATACTAGTCTTCTATCTTCTACTATAACGATATAGCTAAACTCATCCTTAGCTATCCTACTATAGATACTCTAGCTAAGGGATAAGATATCCCTATCGTTCGTTATATCGTTATTAGCTGATACTCTATCCTACTCGCTTTAATCAGTAACGAAGAGCAATTTATATATCTTTTACTAGTAGACTCAGCTATATACTATAGTAATATCGCTAGCTAGATCTAGGAGTAGATTACTATATTAAGTATATAGGCTACCCCTATCGTATTCATTATACGTTACTATATATATCTAAAGTAAGACTTTAGTCCTATTGCCTTCGTCTACTACTATAACCTAGAGAACCTGAATAGACTATATATTATAGACGAAAGAGCTACTATTACTATATAGGAATAGTAGTACTATAGTAAACTTTACTAGGACTTAGTCCTCTAACTCTAAACTTATATTATCGCTATATATATATATACTATCGAGTATAGTATTATTAAGGCATTTGCTTTAACCTTCGATAAGCTTATTAACCTTATATTATAAGTGACTAAGTAATAAGTAGAAGATATATTTAGCGCTAGCCCTAATATACTAGACGAGGACTTTGCCCTATACTAGGTATAAGGTATAATCTACCTACTATCTCCCTACTATTCACTATACTTTCGCTTATATCGTTTACTACTCATTTAATGCTTTATTTATCGTTTATATTATCGTCCCTAGCCTTATATAGCTACCTAGTATTTTACTAGGATAAAAGAGTTACTTGATAGTACTAGCGTATACTAAGCTATATAGCTATTCTTATCCTACTATATACTATGCTTTACTAGTCAGCTTTACCTTATCTTCGCTATTGCGTTTGCTTATTATAGTATTTCAGAGAGCTTAAAATATATATAGAATATATTATACCTACTAGTACTATCGCCTATATCGTCGTTTGCTCTTAGCTATATTATAGTTATTACCTATTAGGTTTTAGTCTTTAGACTATATTAGAGTATAATCATAGTTTATTTTATAGAGGAACTACCCTTATAAGCATTATATATCTATAAATCATAGGCACTAAGAAGTAGTTAGGTATATTATTCTATTAGTCTCCTTAATAGTATATTGAGGAAATATCCTATCATTATTTATATTAGATTACCTAGTAGCAATTACTATACCTTTACCTTATTATTATCCTTATTTTATAGTCTAGCTATACTAGTATAGTATTACTAACTTTATAGAGTTATAAACCTTATTAGTCTATAATAGACTATAAATTTCTTCTGCCCTATATATATACTACTTATACTTATATATATATTATTCCGAAGAAAGGACTATTACCTATTAAACCTATTAATAGATACTATAGATATACTACGAACTCAGTAACTATGAAGTTGCCTAGGAATAACCCGATATATTTTGCTTAGCTACTATTATCGCTAAAACGTCCTCCTATTAGCTATATATTCATTATAAATATACTGATAATTACTGCCTATATAGATATAAGCCTTCTTATATCCTAGGGTACTTGATATACCCTATAGGTACTAGGTAAGCTATCTATACCTATACTACAGAGTTATAGTAAAAGTATAGTGAAAGCATAGTGAATTCCTCGTTAATTCACTAGGAGAATCTATAGTGAAAGTATAGTGAAAGCATAGTGAATTCACTATACTTTCACTATATTTTCACTAGTAGACTATATTATATATATATAGTACCTAGGTAGCTCCTGATAGCAGATAGGAGAAGAATTGATTATCGATTTATACTATACCTAACTATTGCTATTAATACTCGTCTTGATGCTCGTCCTTATACTTGTCCTCGTACTTATGAAACTCATCCTCCTCGTCTAATTTATAGCCTTCGAAGTCAGCTAGGAAGGTTATAAAGTCCTCCTCCTCGTAGTCCTCGTATTTATATTATATTAGGTAGGTTATTCTAGCTAAGTATCGTTCCTCTATAGGGTATTTAGTAAACTAATACCCCTCCTTCTTATATATGAAATACTTCTTCTTCTATAGCCTATTGCAAGTATCGTTATTTCCCCTACTAAAACGATAGAAGTTTAAGTAGCTATTATTAAATCCTTAGCTAGGGAAGCTCTATAATAGTTATCCTCGACTATAGTTATTACTATACTAACGATCTACGTAATATTAGTCTTAGAGTTCTTCTATTATATTGATTAATATAGTATAGCTAATCTATATCTCTACTATAGACTTTAAGTCAGAAAATAACTCTTCGTATAATTATACTAGCTTAAAGAGAGCTATTTCTAGTTCTAGTACTCCTTTATAGGCCTTGATTACTATTATCTATAAGTTATTTTCCTCTATATAGTCTAGCTCTAGTACTCATTAGTATAGCTATAGCTTATCGAGTATAATTCATAGGATATTATATAGGCTACTATCAGGGTACTATATCCTAGTCTTTATAAACGTTATTATTATCTAGTCTATATAATAGTACTAATAGTTGAGGTCTATATCGAAGTATATTTTGATCTTTAGGTATACTATTGCAAATGTATTAGCTCTACTTATATAGTAGAGGTAGTATATCTCTATATAATCTTTTAGTATTCGAGGGAATACTATATAGAATTAACTGAGTTAGATTTCAGTATAGTAGTAGATATTAAAGAATATCTTTATCTTATTATCTAATAAGTTATATGAGTCCCCTAAGTACTTCTAAGAATCTTATAGAGTCTTGACGAACTATATAGACCTTATAGGGTCTAGTTATTCGTTAGGAATTTGCTATAGGAGAAGTAATTCATAAGGGTTATACTCAATATTTAGTATTAGTAGTTATATTAGCTATATACTCTATATATTTACTAAGTATAGTATATATCTCTAGTATGAATTCTATTTCTACCTATCTACTAGTAATAGCCTTAGAAGCTACTTAATCGATAGTATTATATTACTAAGGGGATTTCATAACGATAGTAGTTGTATCGAGCCTCTAAGTATTAAGGGCAGCCTAGGTAGTCTTAATAGTAGTAGTTATATAGCTAAGTTCTATATATTTTGATTCTTTATAGGTTGAATAGATAGTTATCGTATAGCTAGGTTAGCTAAAGGTTAAGCTAGCTACTATTACTCCTATAGAGTTAGCTATCTTTCTCTTAGGTCTAGCTACTACTATCTAATTAGAGCTAGTTATCTTAGGTTTATATAATACTCGTTTATATATGATTCTAGTACTAGGGGGATATTATGAAGCTTAGTATCAATCTATAGTAACCTCTCCTTAGCCTATACTAGAGCATATAACTATAGTACTACTAGTTAGTTATTTCATCCTATAAATATACTTTATAGGTATAGGAAGTTCTTCAATAACTATTAGTATAGTACTAGTAGCTACTCTTATATCCCTAGGGTCTAAGTAGTAAAGTCCTCTTAGTATATAATGAAGAAGTTATCATTATATAGGTTTTATTATATATAGCTAGCTAGAGTACTTACTAGCTTTATAACTAAGTATTCCTCTATAGTATCTTATATAGGGTTTACAAACTATAGTATAGGGTCGATATAGCTATAATATACTAGGTCAAATATCGTATTTGCTAGTAGTTCATTAATTATATACCCTCTAATTAGGGTAGGTTCCTCTGCGTTAGCTATTATCAATAGCTAATGATCTTCGTAAGAATAGGCGTATAGGGAATATACTCTATAAGGTAGGATCAGTAGTAGTATAGCTCTCGTAGGGTATAGCTCTTGCTTAGGTATATATATATCTAGATAATAGAATAGCAGAGGTTAATAGAGCAGCAGGATAAGGTTCAGTAGGGCAGAAGTAGGCTAGTATATATATATGCGTTATATTTTAGCGCTTTGATGATACTAGTGATGATCAGCAGTTAGGTTCTTGCCTCTTATATATGTTTTGACGTATATCTCCTAGAGGGTAACGATTTGCGATAGTCGCTTGCTATAGCTTCATAGGGAAAGTTATAATCTCTATTCGATCTTCGTAATAGTCTGCTCAGGGGTCTATATTAGGGAGGCCTATTGAAGCAAACTATCGCTATATAGTATGCAACTAGCGTAGAGGATTTGAATTTGAATCAAGGAAATCTATAGAGGTTAGTCTCTTCTACCTTGTAGATCTATAGTACTTACGACTACTGATCAGTATTAGTAGGCCTTCGTATATACGATTAACGTAGGGTTAATTTAGTTCGATTTGTTGTTGTTCTAGTTAGCTATTTTATAGCTAAGCCCTCTAAGGGGAAATAGCTAAGTAATTAGTAGCTGCTATCCCGAAGGAAGGCATAGCCCAAGCGATAGCTATATGCTGACACCTAGGGCTTATACTAAGAAGGGTAGGGCTGCAAGAGCTCATATAGTGAACTACTTATAGATTGACCTTAGTCCCTACTAAACCAGCAGATACGTAGCATATACTAAGTATATACTGGACTGTGAACAAAAGCCCTTGTTATCTGCGAAGTCGACTAGGAATTTAAAGTTCTATATATTTACTCATGGATGGGACAGTGTGTTACCCGAAGGGGGCGTAGCTAAGTCTATAGAGAAGGTATAGCACAATAAGCACCCTAAGCAGACCTGCAACGCTGATAAGACTTGAGCATTTGTGAGGACCCTTGGGGTCAAGATGAAAGTAATTTGAACCAAATTGTCGCTAATCTGGTTATGACTACTCCAAAGGAAGGCAGGCTGACTGGCAGGTTGACTTCAAGATCTGCTTAACCCAGGTTACCTATGTACGAAGTTGGCTTCAGCTTGACTGACAGTCTGCCCGGCATCATGAAACATACTAATACGCATCTTATCATTCATTGGGCGTCTAGCTCAGTGGTAGAGCGCCCGCTTCGCATGCGGGAGGTCGTGGGTTCAATTCCCCCGTTGTCCATACTCCTTTTTTTTCTCTTCCTTTTTTGTCCCATCCACATCGCCTCAAACTACATGACTACGACTACTCAAAGACGACGAACCACCGCTGTGGTGACAGAAGGTCGTAAGGTTTTGGTAGTGAGGTACTCTGTTCCATACATATATGGCAAATGTAAAGACTACAGATTTACCATGCCTGAAATCCCCCTGGTCCTATTCGAGCGAACAGTATCTCCGTATATGGTGGGCACCAGTGCGGATGGGTTAGTTCTAGTCACGAAGAGGTTTGACCCCTTTTACGGACGGAGAGTGTGGTCTGCAGCACATTTAGATGTAATGCCTAAATATGAAACCATTATACTAGCCAGACAAAAAGAGTAACCACCTCAATATAAGTAAGAGTAAATCTGGTCTTATAGCTGGCCTTTTAACACTACCCCAGCCGTAGCCCTTATAGTCGTCCTCAGCTTAGTTATGCGACTGTACAGCGGAAATACTGTTAGTAAGGACTATAATGGTTGTAGGTCATACACAAGCTTTATAATAAGTGGCAATATGCTTTGATTCTTGTATTGTTTGTATCTCTGTTGCTTGTATGCTTCATCACGGACAAATCCACATCCGGGGTATCCTTTCAAGTTTGTCTTCCCTTTCAATCCTTCTCTCCCATTATGAACCGGCATTGACACCGATACCGATACCCTCCCTGACCTCATACACGATAACACCCCCATCAACACTCCCTACAAACAACAAGCCCCCATCCCCCGAGAAAGCCAACTCAGTCACCCTACCCAGGTCCTCACCAAGACCCTCAAGCCCACCACCACGGCCAGAATCACCACTCCCCTCCGAAGACCACCCACTCCTCAGCGATGACCTTCCACTTCGCCGGCCCGACGCCCCGTCAGAAGGAGCCCCCCTCCCATCTATCCGCCACAACTCCCTCCCACTCGTAGCATCCAGCACCACCAGCCCACCAACCCTCCCCCCGCTCCCGCTCCCGCTCCCACCCCCACCCGGATCACAATACGCCACGAACCGACAGTCAGGACTAACACAGCACAGCACATCCGGGATCCGATACGCCATGCTCATCCCGCCGTCGTCCTCCGCCCCGCCAAAGTCCCACACCAGCACACTCCTCTCCGTGACCACCACCGGCTCGACCTGCCAGGCCCCAGGCCTCCCGATGGTCCTGAACCTGGCCCGCGACCAGACGGAGACGGCCACGCTGCCGTACGTGGCCAGGCACAGCGGGAGGGAGTTCTCGAGCTCGGGGTACCTCTTCCTGTCCGGCACGAGGAACTTGTAGGGCGTGTTGTGCGGCACCGGCACCGGCACCGGGGCCGACGCGTCGTCGCCCAGCTGCCACGCCATGAGGAGCGCGGCGTGTTCGGGCGGCGGACAGTCTGGGCGCGGGGGACGCGGGCCCGCGGCCGCGACCAGGAGCGGCCCCGTCGCGGAGTATGCTAGCTCGGGGAGCTTGGGGAGGTGGGGTAGGCCTGCCTTCTTGAGGTCGATGGAGCGCGGCTTTGCGAAGGGCTTCTTGGATGTTGGTGAGGGGGAGGCTGGGTAGAGATCGATGGTGTCCCTGTCCTCGCGGTATGCGGCTAGTGGGTATGATCCGGCCTGCGGTTGCCGTGTGTATGCCCATCGGTATACGTCGTTGAGACTCTGGACTTTCTTGCGTTTCGCCCAGTTCCAGATCTCGAGGGTGTGTCCGAAACATGAGGTTATGGCGATGAGGTTGAGGGCTTCGGAGAGGATGGCGTGGCTGCGGATGAAATTGTCTCTGCTGCGGGGCTGGGCCTGGACATAGAATGGTACTTTGATGGTGGATATGAGAGTGTATCCGGACTGGATCTCCCATATGTTTATGCAAGACTTTCCATGGCGGCTTGCTAGGTTGGTTGACGTAGGTGAAGTCTCGATGGAGTAGACCCCGTAGGCACTGTCCTTATCTATGGGATCAATGCGCCTCAGTGGGGTAACATCTATCCCAATGTCTTCGGAGGCTGTTGAAAGGGTATGCTGTAGGCTATATAGTGACTGCTCGTAGGTGTTTGAGCTTGATAGTGGTGGTAACTTTGTGAGTGACAGGTTTGACGTGGTGGAGTGGCGGTTCGAGGCTGGCTCGCTCGACGTTGTGAACCTTGAGTCGTAAGTACCGCTAGAAACTGCTCTTGCCCTTGACTTGGCTGGAACTTGTGGCGCACGACTTGCTGATGATAACAACGGATTTCGCCGTAGACCAGACTTTGGTGGGGGTAGTGGCGGCAAAGACCTGGCTGGTGGGGGAGAGGGAAAGAGGCTGTAAGCTGGGATAGGTCGATCATTATTGGGTGAGTATTCTGCATTGTTCAGCGGTAATGGTGATGGCTTTATATATCTCTGTCTAGATCCAGGATGCTTGGTCAGGTCCTCATCAGGTATGGACGCGAGTAATGACTGGGTAGATATCTCAGAGCCAGACTCTGTCTCAGAGCTTATAGTTGAAGATGGCCGCGTCTGCCTAGGGTCTGAAAAGCCCAAGGCTAGTCTTCTGAAAGAGAACATCATGGACTGGACTGACGGTGGTGTAGTCGGTGGACTAGGTGGACTCGTCAATGGCACCACATCTGGTGCAGCATCAACAGGGGTGGTGCTGTTAGCTAGGCTAAACTTTTCGACCTCATCGAGACAACTAATAAGTAGTACGCCGAGAGGTGTGGCTTGTAAGCTGCTCGAGGTGAATTGTTGTCGCAAACGGTTGATATCAGATGGCGTTGCTTGCTTTGAATTACTTCCCAGGGTTGGTTAGTGAATCAGCCATTCGAAGACGTGTAGAGGCAACTCACTGGTCTACGGCTTGCATGGTCAATTGGACCGTTTTGCGACCGGCCTCTAGCACCCGTTTCAACCTTCGAGTCTCCAAGGGGGCCTCCGTTAGAGCCCACCGTCCAGGCCGGAGTGGGCCATCACCACACTCGGTAAAGACGCCGTCAATGCAACGGCAGATGTCGGTGCAACCTCGGACGACTCGGGTCAAGGGAGCAAACAGCGGATCAGGCAGTGTAACGTCCTGCAAGTACTCGAGGATCCCTCGAAGCTCGCATAGCTCAGCGAGCACGGGTTCTACCTCATTTTGTGCTGCTGGAACCTCCCTCAGGAAAGCGGTAGCGATCTGTACACTCCGGGCGGCAGCGGCGAGGGCAGCTGTGTTCGCTGCCACGAACGGTCCATCCATGCGGTACGGGTGTAGTATCACTGAGAGTTGATAGCCTCAGACTTTTTGGAAGCTCTGTCTCATGTGGGGATTATATAGGTAGTAGGCCTCACTTCAACGCTTGAGTGGTATCTCGTGATGGTATCTGGTGTTTCCTGGCTATGACGTTTGAAACTAGGCATCACGATCAAGTCTATCATTCAGGTGAAAAGGGAAAAAGACAGATCCGCATCGGTCATCGTACGAGATGTGTATGAGGGAGTAGCACAATGAGAGAGCAGCGGCAGCAGCAGCATCCGCCCTTAACCACTTCGAGCTTGGAGGCTAATCATCGCTTTGAACCACACGGCATAAGTAGTTGCGGCTGTCGCCCACGCCAGCCACATGCAAAACGAAGTGAGACATTTCATCAAAAAGAGGAGCCTATGGGGATGCTGCTACGCTGGTGACCTGCGCACTTCTAGAAGGAATCCTTCGACTCGGCCAATGTAATGCCGCTATGCTGATATAAAAGTTCCCCGAGGGTCCCCATGGGCATAATTGGGTAGGGGTCCCCCTGAAACGACCTTCACCAAGATACTTAAGTGCTTACTTAGGTCTAGCGCATTCCGGGGAAACTTGGGGTATTGGTGGTCAAGGGGATTGCAGAGGTCCACTGGAGGTTGCCCAGGGTTTCCAAGGTTTGTGGTTGTCGCTTGGACATCTAAGGTTTGATACCCTACTATTTACGGGTAGTCAAGATCCATAGCAATCTCCCCCGGATTATGAGTGATTGAACATGGCAATACATAATATAAGAACCCCGCACACAGACATGGCCATACCAATAGAAACAGACTTCAAATGGAATCCTGCGCGAGAACGTGTCAGCGCTAATCTTCGAGATGATGAAGAGCCAACGGCTCCTTCAGACCAACCACCTGCTTGCTGGTGACTGATGGCGGCAAGCGGAGGTGACAGGCAACCACCAACCGCAGGATTAACCCGCTTGACGAATAATATGCGATATCATCAAGGGCCCCTGCTAACTTCGCTTTTGTTGGCTCCCGCACTTCAGCACTAGAGCCGCTATGTACTTCTAGTGTCCGCAACAATGGAGTCAAAGCGATGCTGAGAGCTGAGACAGTACCTTGAAGCAATGTCTTACATTGCAGTAGGGAATATACTACCTTGGCAGAGAACTCGGCTAGTTCAGCTGTCTTGTTACGGGCTGAAAGTGTCCCTCATATAAGGCTCCTAGGCTGATGGACAACTGCAACACTTGCCCCAGCTAATTACTATAGTAGAGCTGAATATAGGTATACTGAACCCGATAATCTATAGATAGTTATTGCCTCATCCGAATGCCTTTATACGCATAAAAGGTTGACTATATCTTGTCTCCCTACGGCGCATATATGCCAATAGGGAACAACGCACATATTAACTTCTATCGGTATCTATGGATGCAAAAGTGATCACCAATCCAGTTGCATTGGCTAGGCCTATGATCACACAGTTCCATATCCACCTTGAGGTGCAAGACTCGGGGCCTTGAAGATTTCGAAGGGAAGTATAATAAGTTTTTGTCAAGGCCTCAGTAATGTGATATTCTGAAGAAGGCCAGTGAGAAGGTGCCCGCTGCATTGCAGTAACAAGCTCAAGCCTCGTATCCGCCGTGTTGCTTATGGGGCAGCGCGATGTGTCTGGTGGTAGCTTTGTCGTTGACCACATATACATGTGAGTCATATGTCGAACGGCAATATACAGGTTTGGCATGCGTGATAGCCCATAAAAAGCATATACAGTGTGCCTCAAGGCCACTTCCAAAG